TAATACTGAGTTTCTCATCGTTTTAAATAATAGTCTAAACAATAATAAGATCTAAATATAAATTAAAAATACATTGTAAAAATATCTGAACAAAAACTCAATTATCTAAATATTTGTAAATAACATAAAAATAGAGATATCTTCACATAATTGCCATTAATTTGTTTTATTGATTCCCAACAGAAACTCGCCGACGCCCAGGAAGTAAACCGTTTGTGCGATTCCTGTCATTGGTTTACAAAATATCCACAATTAGTAATCAAATTAAATTGGATTTAAATGAATGGTTATACCAAAGAGTGGTGCGATGACCATTATACGACACCCGGCGCCTCTCAGGAATGCCCCGTAGCCCTCACTTTTCGAGATCTTAATAAAGGCGTCCAAAATGCCGTTATAAGTCACCTCTCCTTTAGCTTTGTTCAACACTTGAAGACGTGTTTTGATGACATCGAAGGGGTTGACAGAGACGGCGGCCACAGATCCCGCACAACAACCGGCCAAAAATGATGCCTAAAATATATCGCAAACACCATATTATTAGCCGTTCAATCAGTCAGTTAACAGTAAAGTCATTCAATGTTTACCCAAAACACCGATCCTCCGTCCTTTCGTTTTGGGCCTAATTTGTTGAGATTAGCAAAGAGTGGAAAATATATGACGGAAAATGAGACGTCTCTGAGCATTGTTGCTGTCGTCCCTCTGTAGAGACCGAGTATTCCTCGAGTTTTAATCAGTTTGAGAGCAATGGCTGTCGCAGAGGTGGCAACGATGGCTTCTCCCCCTTCAATGGCTCCTAATATGTCAGTCAATACATTATTGCCATTCAATGAACACATTTTGGGGACAAACCTTTGGCCGAAACTCTTCCAGCGTCTTGTAATTGGATTTTTAACAGTTCCATAGGAGTGGTCACTATGAATGACATTTTGATTACCAATTGTTTATATTTTAATAATTGCATAACAAACCTATTATTTGACACAAACCGGCCGCACCTCCGGAGATCATTTCTTTTGGAATGGATAGCCTCCTAATGGGACCAAAAGTTTTATTCATATAAACCCAGTATATAATCACCAATTAATTCAAACCCATTTTCATCCGTTAGTTTATGTCGAAAGAAGTCATTTGCCGCTAATTTGATGGCCTTTTCGGGTGTAATAAGGAGTATATTAACAGCGCTTCCTCTATACATACCAAAGAGGCCTTCTTTGCGAAAGGTTTTGGCAAAACAGTCGAACCTTGAGTTCAATTAAATCATTGAATAATTAATATTTGGAGCAAATATTCAATATAATTAGCTTATCATACATTGATCTATACATGAGTTGTCCATTTGGACCAATTCGTTGGTTCTGGAGACGAGTCTTTACTGAAATATAATTAATTTGATATTTTAATACACAATGTTAATTAAGACATTTGGAACATAGTTACCTAGATCAATCGGGAAAACACATGTCACGCCAATTATACCCGCAATGCCTCCGTTCACTATTTTGGGTAATAGCCTACAAATTATATACAAGTTTAAATCAGATATGTATTATGTAATCAACGTATATTTGCTGAATATATTTCAAAATATGCTAATTATGAATACATACGGAAAATCAGACTTCATATCTATTAATATAAGTGTTGAAACAAATTATACAAAACAAAAAAAATATTAAACAAATTATATATAAAACAAACTAAAAATATCTTCAAATATGAGACTAATTTAAGAAACAATTGATAAAACACTTAATCAAACAAAAAGTTTATCGATTGAAACAAATGGAAAAATAATATGAGATTCAATGCAAATGAAATCATATGAATGAAGTGTAAATAAGTCTAAAAAAATATCTAATGGTTTGTCATCTCATGTGAGACCACTTTCTCACTGCACTCATGCTTTCCATTCACTTCAGTGCTAAACCTATGAATGACTTCCCAATGCATTACTTTCTATGCGTAAATCAATACGTAATCCTTTGGTATCAAAAATAGTTTATTAAAAGTATTGTATTTCATTGAAATATAAATATTTATATTCGTGACACTATTTTGATTAAATGATAGTACGTTAAAAATTATATACTAATTAACTATTTAAATTTTAATTTCTTTTTTATAAAAGCCTTCTACTAAATAAATTCATTATTTTCTAAATAGCCTTGAAATGATTTTAATGTGTGATTGGTAATGAATTTATTAATAAATTTACTGATTTCTTGTATTGAGTACAATATTACAAAATAGTTTCTC